ATTATCCACTGAATTATGTGATCTGGAGTGTCCGTTTTCTTCCACGTGCGCGAGTGTTACACAGAAGAAGAGTATCCCGAGAGAGAAGACAGTGGATGACGAGTTTTTGTTATCTTTGGTATCGGAGAACAGATTTATTCTCACATGTTCTTAATATAATTTCTATCAATTATCCACTGAATTATGTGATCTGGAGTGTCCGTTTTCTTCCACGTGCGCGAGTGTTGTGAATCAGAGCGCGTTCACTCTAGATCTTCCGTATTAATAAAATCGAGGGAAACATATTTCTACACATGAAATATGAAAGCAAGTAGACATGATTATGACGATATATTTCTGTATGTGTTTTGTTTACAGCTCATGGTATTTTTATAACAATAAAGGATGTTTATGACAATAAGCAGGTGTTATTGGTGGTGTTATTAAACAAAGAGTGCATGTCTGCCTAGAATCAAAATCAACTATAGATCACAATCGGGAGTTATTACAAGCACTCGATGATGGTCTAAAGTGGGTTTTAAGCAAATACATTAATAATTACACAAATTTTCAAATGTGGCTTGATGCTAATTGTACTTCTATTTATATTTTAAGATGTTTTCTTGTAAGCATTATAGATAGTTTGTGTTTCTGGCGTAGAACCAAACTTTATTTAGCTATATTAATTTAATACTGTATATTGAGCAGTGGACGATGTTAAATCCATATATGAGATACATATCTGAGAAAAAATGCATTGCTGGTCGGCGCCACCTAGCGTGCAGGTGTGAATTAGCAGAAGGTGAACAATCGTTTCGCACTGTTCGTCGGCGATTCGCCTTGCTTTTTCGCATCATGCTCAATGTGGAACGGCCTTAAGACACAACCGACTGTGTTCACATGATTACTCGACGGCATTTTGACATAACTGTGTGTGTTTTTGACCATTCAAGCACAGTAAGACGTGAAAGAGAACCGAATGTGTGATCACATGCTGTCTGAGAGAGACTGCTTTCTCTGTGCGCGCTTCGGGTTTATGTCAGTTGAGTTAATTTTCACTGCACTTAATAACATTGTTTGATGTTTAAGATCCAACAAGTCCCACTCTTTACTTTCTCATTCATGCATGTTTCTTTATCACTCTTACATGTATATCACTTTTAAGTAGTACTGTGCTACACGGATATATTTGCATATGGCGAAATAAACAATATAGCAAAATCTCAAACGATAGACACTTTATACCATCGTCACAATACTGTATATACCATCATGCCAACCAGCTCTAACAAAGCATATGTCTAAAGCCAATGCATGTTGTCAATGCAGGCAACTTTTGTTGTTGCGTCTCCAGTAGTTGGTTGTTCCGTTGCTTTTTCGACTTGTGAAACAATGCCGTCACCTCGTAAACTAACCAATTAGTGCAAGAACATTCAAGGCCCTTGCGAGCTGAGTTTACAGAGTACATGTGGTTAGAAAAAATATGACCGCACATGTAGAATTAAACAGGATGTTTTTGCTACTGTACCTTTACGATGCAGAACAACCCCCCTGACAAGTTGCCGAATATTGTGCATCTGTAATGTGTCAGTATGGGTGGTCATATGTTATGGAGCTTATGGTCATGATGTCATAACCACAATTTCTGAACTAGATGTTTATGAAGTTTAGTTTGATTAAATGGAGTGTGCTGTGGATCACATTTATGGTGTCCCCATGATATGAATCAATCATGCATCGATTGCCTTACTGTTTTACTCCTTACTACATTATTCACACTGGTGCTGTCATCTCTTTGACTTATGGGTCATGTGGTAGTAACCCAAGTGCATTTTATCCCTTAATGATGTAGTTATGAGTGGTTTGTGTGTGGGACGTCAGGGACTCTGTATCCTAGGTTGAAAACCACAAACAACCTCATATTTATATCAAGTATTGTTCTGAAAGCAAAACACAACAAATCAGAAACAAACAGTGGGTTATCGCCTGTCCACCCCCTCAGTGTGGCCGATGAACGGTGGGCCATGCGAAAGGTCACTACACATCTCCATCTCTCTCGGTATCGCCTCTGTGTGCTGCCGTCGCCATTGAGGCTCCAGCTCTGGATGGGCTGAAGTGACAAATCTGAGTTGTGAATGTTAGAGTGAATCGACATGATGCGTTTTTCAATAATGCACCCACTTTAGTGGTAAAATAGCTGGTTTTTGTGAGTATAAAAGAACCGCCCGAGTTCATGGAGTTTGGACAGATGAGCCCCAATCTGCTCTCGCCTGTTCTCTAACCCTCTCCGTCAGTCAAGTCATCCATGTTCAGTTCATTGAAAGCAGACGTCACTCTCCCCTTCAACCCAACAGTGCCGCCCATTCATCAGCCCCCGGCAGAAACTCAATCTCCTCTGAGAACGAGCTGCGTGAAAGGAGCCAGTGTGATTGTGGAGGGCTGTCTGTCTGAGGAGCGTCACTGAGATGCTGCCTGAGTGCTCTCAGCCCAACGGACAGTGGTGCCAGATGTCTGCCTCTCCTGCCTGGCCTCCCTTTGTGCACGGGGAACAGTGCCATGTCAACGCAGTTTGAGATTGTGTTCGGATGTGCACTGGCCAACAAGCCTGCTGTATTAGCAGATACGAGCTTCTCAGATATTACGGCACATCCGTATTTCACATCTGTGGATGTTGAATAGGACTATGACAGGGGCGTCCAATCCTGCTCCTGGAGGGCCACTTCCTTCAATCTTAAACACAACTTCCTGGAAGCTTCTAGTCATCCCGAAGACCTTGATTGGCTGGTTCAGGCGTGTTTAATTGGGGCTGGAGCTGGCCCTCCGGGAACAGGACTGGACACTCCTGGTCTGTGAGGACTTTAGACCAATGTTTCCCAGCCCTGTTTCTGGAGGCACCCCAAGACTACACATTTTCAAACTCTTCCCAATCAAACACATCTGAATCATCTCATCAGCTCATTAGCAGAGACTCCAGCACCTAAAAAAGATCGGTCAGATAAGAGAGACATCCAAAAGGTGTATTGTTGGGGTTCCTCCAGGAACAGGGTTGGGAAACACTGTTCTAGACGATATAGCATTGAGTTTAATGGATGTTGTGTGTTTTCAGCAGAGTCGGAGCTTCCAGATCAACACCTTTTGGTCCATGTGTTATTTTAATGAACTGAAACCCTGAGTCACTTTGATGTAGGGGTGTGCGATATTTATCATCTACGATAATATCGTAATCGTTGTTTTAACAATATGCGAGCTGACATTGTCAAGTCATTCAATTTGCAAAAAAAGTCAAAAAGTATTGACTGCGTAATGAAGCCTATTAATGCAGTAAAAATGTCCATCTAATTCAAGTTACGAAAGCAAATAATATCCCTGTATAGGTTTTTGGTTTTATAAGATATGATATAGTGAAGTAATACATGCAAGAGTGCCATTTTCCTGAATATCGGCACGTGAGCGTGATCGCAAAAGTGTGATATTGATTGTATACAACGGTTCAACAAACAAGAAGTTAATATTGAGTGAGTTACATTTTAGACTCAACGTTGTCTGTTCTTTTTGTTTCGCCAACGAAAATAGTTCCAAAATGTGCACTGGCCAACAAGCCTGCTGTGTTAGCAGATACGAGCTTCTCAGATATTACGGCACATCCGTATTTCACATCTGTGGATGTTGAATAGGACTATGACAGGGGTGTCCAATCCTGCTCCTGGAGGGCCACTTCCTTCAATCTTAAACACAACTTCCTGGAAGCTTCTAGTCATCCCGAAGACCTTGATTGGCTGGTTCAGGCGTGTTTAATTGGGGCTGGAGCTGGCCCTCCGGGAACAGGACTGGACACTCCTGGTCTGTGAGGACTTTAGACCAATGTTTCCCAGCCCTGTTTCTGGAGGCACCCCAAGACTACACATTTTCAAACTCTTCCCAATCAAACACATCTGAATCATCTCATCAGCTCATTAGCAGAGACTCCAGCACCTAAAAAAGATCGGTCAGATAAGAGAGACATCCAAAAGGTGTATTGTTGGGGTTCCTCCAGGAACAGGGTTGGGAAACACTGTTCTAGACGATATAGCATTGAGTTTAATGGATGTTGTGTGTTTTCAGCAGAGTCGGAGCTTCCAGATCAACACCTTTTGGTCCATGTGTTATTTTAATGAACTGAAACCCTGAGTCACTTTGATGTAGGGGTGTGCGATATTTATCATCTACGATAATATCGTAATCGTTGTTTTAACAATATGCGAGCTGACATTGTCAAGTCATTCAATTTGCAAAAAAAGTCAAAAAGTATTGACTGCGTAATGAAGCCTATTAATGCAGTAAAAATGTCCATCTAATTCAAGTTACGAAAGCAAATAATATCCCTGTATAGGTTTTTGGTTTTATAAGATATGATATAGTGAAGTAATACATGCAAGAGTGCCATTTTCCTGAATATCGGCACGTGAGCGTGATCGCAAAAGTGTGATATTGATTGTATACAACGGTTCAACAAACAAGAAGTTAATATTGAGTGAGTTACATTTTAGACTCAACGTTGTCTGTTCTTTTTGTTTCGCCAACGAAAATAGTTCCAAACAAAGCCGGATCAGAACATTTGTGCATCTGAGAGCAACACTGCAGCGTTTCGTTCCTGAATGAATCTGTTTTTGAATTAATCATTTGAGCCAATGATTCAGTAATCCGTTTGTAAAGACATAATTCACTTGCTTCGTTTCTAAATGAATCAGCAGTTTTGAATAAATCGTTTGTATTAATGATTCAGTGAATGACTCATTAAAGGGACATGCCGCCACCTACTGGTGGTTTTAGTGTCATATTTATTTTGCCACGACATTCCTAAACGAGCCAAGGTACCAGCACAAAACTCACTCTGCAAAATATTGTTTAATTATTGTTATCCAAAAAATGTTGAGGTGTCATTTTTTGTCAATATTATATCACACACCCCTACTTTGATGTCACTGATATTGTGGTGCCAGTTTGAAGACTTAATTACACTTTTTTGTTTTTGTTTTTGACAGGTTCTTGACAATTACGAGCGAGAAGGTTTCCAGTTCCTCGCGAAGGTCTTTAACTCATCCCATTCCTTCCTGGAGGATCTGACGGGCTTGACTTTACTCCATCAGGAGACTCAGGCAGCTGAGGTTAGACTCATCATCTGCATCACCCTGTGTGTGCTCACAGTCACATTCAGATCAGAGCCAACGATTACTGACAAGTTCATGATTACTGTCAGGTCAAAAAAAACTGTTCTTTTGGCCTGTGCCATCCGGTGACAAAAGCTGTGTGCATTCATTATTAATTGATCAGATCCACTTGCACATGTACACTTGGAAATATACTATGCACAGATGGTTATAGATGAAACGGCCTTTAAGTCCTGTAACCGCTAGTCCACACAAGATTGTTCAGAGATGAGTGAATGATGAATGATCTGTTCACTATCAGCTCAGACACTAAAGCTTACGGCACATTGAGGAAATATGATCAGGCTGATCATTTTAAAAAGAAAAAGAGGATCTCTATTGAAGCATTGAGTTTCTGTCGGCCACGAAGGCTGTTGACCTGACATATGGTGAACACACACGACACGATCCAGAGCCCACCGGACAAAACTCACATCAAACATGGCCAGTCAAGCCTCAGACTGGCTTATCTGATCATTATTATTTAATATCTGTCTGTACGTTCATGAATATGTTGCAGCTACATCAGTCAATATCTTTGCAAATTCATAAAGGTTTCTGATGAAGTTTATGCTTTTAGTAGACACTTTTATCCAAAGCGATTTACAATAGAGGAACAACAGCGATTCCTAACAGAGCTGACAATATAATATTTTAGGCACTGGAGCCTAAAGGCTTCCTGATGGTTTCACACCTAATTCTTCACCTTAATTCTTAAAGGGGTCATATGATGCGATTTCAAGTTTTCCTTTCTCCTGACCCTGCTGACCCACTGAGCATTTCGCTCTCCAATGGTCATGCCTTAACTTTGCAAATTCTAGTATTGCATTAGTATTGCATCCTTCTCATGGCCATTTAACCATTTTTGACTTTTAGTCTGAGTTAAATCTCTTTTTTTTGCCTCATTTTATCTTTTAAAGAAAACCTGCTTAATAATTATGCACACCTGAATATAAGGCGTTTTTCACTTCTAGCCTTCATGAATAATTATATATCATTTACAAATGATTAAAGACTAAATTAATAGTAGTTATTTAGATTGATGTGGTTTGGAATTGGTAAAATGTTTTTTGGAAAAAAAAATATGATCAGAATATCAACGTGGCTAATAATTATGCACGCACTGTATGTATTTATTGATGTCTTAATATTCCCCAAATCTTGCAGAGGACCATGAAATCCTAATCTTAGACTAAATCAGCATATATAAAACTTTAATGATTGCAACACAAACGTCATTGAGAAAACTGCTCCAACCCAAATACTACATTTGTAATTCTTCCCGCTCAAGAAGTTATAATAGCTAAGTTAAATAGCCATAATGCAGTCAGTTCTTGCTGTTCCTGGCTCCCGTCCCAAACTTCACTTCGACTTGCTCTGGAGATCATGTGTCCCAGAAATATCTCCACACGCTCCTGATCCAGGAACAGTTTTCATCAGTTTGCTCCGATCTCAGTCTCTCTACCCCATCGAGTCAAACGTACCCAGGAGCAGGGTTTTGATTCTGGGAACGGTCCCTCGCCGGGACTCTCCAGTGACAAACACAGCCAGTTTGAAACTGTGGGAAAGTCCCACATCAGCAGTCCTCTGCTCTCCAGAGCGGTTTAGAGACGCAAACGCAGTCCAACCCAAAATGAGAGGATATGTGGTCCTGCATTTGCCCACACTTATTGTCTGAAGCCTTCAGATTCATTTCACTTGGATCCGCAGTCAGACGCTTAATATTCCCATGTTGACGTCTTGTATTTTTAATTTCAGCTTCAGGATTGATGTCAAACTGTGAAATGAATGGAAATGCACCACTTCTAGTTTGGAAGTGGTGGTTTTGTGTGTCATTAGTGTGGGGAAAGACACGTCTCTCATTACTTCTGGACTGTTTGATTCAGTGGGATGTTTTCTGGGGAAACGGCTTGCAACTCGACGCTTTGAAATGTGTCTATTTTCTTTGACATTTTCCATGAATATGGTGCACTTTGGCGTCCCATGAGTTTTTTTAAGCTTAGAGACAGAAATAATATATTGTTTACGTGAGAACAGTTTGATATGTTTTAAAATGAATCTAGCATAAAACATTTTAAACCCGTGAAATATCTTGTACAACAACCACCACCCCACGCAAAGGCTCTTGAATGAATCTTAAAATATATCAAAACGCTTAAAATCATACAGGAACATCATAATGAATAAATAAATATTCAGTCCATTTTTGAGGAGCAGCTTTTTTCAAATTATTAACTTTTTTTAGTAACATTTAACTCTATTGATGCGTTTTTTTTTTATCACTCAAAATAAACTGTATTTAGAATTTACCATAATTTTGGTAATAGGGTTGCAGATGCATAGAAATTAAGGGCTCATGTGATAATTTGGTTCTGAAGTTTAAGCACTTCCTTCCACTGACCATTTGATGAAAAAATGGGGGGAAATGACTTGTTTCAGCACCCTGTTTTGCCCTCTATTCATTTATATGCTGCTTTCAGCATGCTTGATTTTGCTATAAGAGCACAATATGAGTGAAATTGCATAATAATGTGCTCTTGTGAAAGTCAGTGGACATAAACAACATCATCCAATCAGCTGATGAGCTTCAGGAAAGCTGTTCTGTGCTTAGATCATGAAGTTAACCATGATAGGGCTTCAAACAGACTCGCATCAGTCGATAGTTTATGTGTAGAACAAATCAATTAAACGTCTATAAAACAAAAAATACAACTTTTTAAACTGCCGGTGTTCGTCAAAACCTCTAGTGAAAGCCGCTTGAATATTCACGGAGGTTCAGTTAGGCTTAAAGTCTGAAGGAATGACTTTTTAAGCATGTTTAGACCTGATAATCAAGCGTCAACATTCACAGCCCATTTCCGCAGTAGACTTCCATCTTTTCTTTCCGGAATGATTCCAGACCCGTGACTTTCAGAGAACTTATAGAGCTGCACAATTACTTGACAGATGAATTGAGATTGTGTTTGTATTAAGGTTATGTATTATATGTGACCCTGGACCACAAAACCAGTCTTAAGTGTCAATTTTTGGAAATTGAGATTTATACATCATCAATAAAGAAACAAAGTAATAATTACACTCATATTATGAATAGAAATTATAGACATGCATTGCAGTAGCTTAATTGTCAGCCAATTATATTACAAATATTATACAAGTTAAATATATATAATGAATATTACAAAGCAAAAAAAAGGTTGAGAGAACGTACCCGTTGTTTGAAATGGTTCTTTGGTCTGCCTTCAAGTCGAGAAACAGCACACTCTATATCGAAGTCTGAAACGGCACGATCAGAGCTGTTGTCTGTGGTTTACCATTTATATGCGAGTGTTGTACACCACCCATGTTATACAAACTTTGTTATAAGCAGTAATTTAAAGTAGCTCTGTATAAATGTAAAAAATAGTGTGTTCATATATACTGTAGTAATGGCAATTTGTTGATAGTGTAAGAGATAAAGATCCTACTTGTCCTGGTAGCCGTGTAAAGATTCAATGAAACATGAATCTACACTGGACTTTAAGACATAAAACCTCACCACATGCCACCACTGATATTGTGTGCATCATGTTGTCAAGCTGATGCTTCGAATCAAGCTTTTTGACTTTTCTCAGTAGGTTAGACTCCTCTTTAGTTGCTGTTCATTTCTCACCAGCTCACGAGACACTAGGCTGTGTGATATTGTTGATCCTGCCTCACTGCTGTATTTGTGCATCATTGCTGTGGGGATGCAGCGAGTGCTGTCATAATATTTGGATGCTGGACTCACACAGGCGCTCCTCTGTTGAAGGCGTAGGTAGGGAAGCAGTTTTGGGGTGATATTTTCCGTCCCCCCGCTGAAGGAGTGTGTACTCAGGCCTGTGGGTTGGAGCAAGCGAGTCCCTCCGAGTGGATGATGGGAAGAAATCCATCGTTTAACCCACTGGACTGGAAGAGCAGTACAACCTACACATGGAGACGGAGAATATGAAAAAAGAGGCATCCGTTCAAGCTCCCGTGTAGAACTGAGTTCTTAAGCGTTCAGTCAGTTTAAACATAACAAGAATGATTTCTGAAGGATCAGGAGTAATGATGCTGAAATCATCAGCTTTGATCACGGCAATCAGTTATATTTTAATATATATTCTCATAGATATCAGTTATGTTAAATTGTAATAATATTTCACAATTTTACTGTTTTTGATAGAATAATGCAGCCTTGATTTTTGATCAGTAGTCTATATTACATTTATAGAATCATTTTAATGAATGTAAAAAGCAGTGCATTGAGATTTTGTGAACATATTTAAGCGATGATGCAAAGAAAAGATTTCTGATTTGCAGAAATGAATCTCTACCAACTTTAAAGGGGTCATATGATGCTGCTAAAAAGAACAGTATTTTGTGTATTTGTTGTAATGACGTGTTTATGCGGTTTAAGGTTCAAAAAACACATTATTTTCCACATACTGTACATTATTGTTTCTCCTCTATGCCCCGCCTTTCTGAAACGCGT